AAAAAAAAAAAAAAAAAAAAAAAAAAAAAAAAAGCCATAGTATGTAAAGCAATCTACAGTACAATCCCTATCAATTCCAGTGACATTTCTCAGCTTATAGAAAAAAAAATTTAAAGTTCATATAGAAGCATAAAAGACCCCAAATAGCTAAAGTAATTTTTTTTTGGGGGGGTGCTGGGGATCTAACTTGGGATGTTGTGCTTGCAAGGCAGGCAGTGGAACCACTAAGCTAAATCCCTGGCAAGCTAAAGTAATCTTGAGCTTGAAGAACAGACCTGGAAGCAGCAATATACTTTCTAATTTTATATTATATTACAAAGCTATAATAATAAACCAACATGGTACCAATATTAAAACAGAAACATAGACCAATAGAACACAATAAAGAACACAGACATAAACTTAGACATATATGGTTAACTAATTTTTGATCATGGTTTCAAGAACACACAATGGGAAAAGAAGAGTCTCTTTAATATGGTGTTGAAAAAACTGAATATCCACAGGATATGTACACAAAAAAATCAACTCACAATAGATTAGAGACTTAAACCTAAGACTGCAAACCATAAAACTCCTCAAAACACAGGAAAAAACTCCCTGTCATTAGTCTTGGCAGTAATTTTTTTGCATATGATACCCAAGCACAGGCAACAAAAGCAAAATGTACAAGTGGGACTACATTAAATTAAAATGTTTAAGCACAGCAAAGGAAACAATAAAATAAAAAGATAACCTAAGGCCGGGAATTAAGCTCAGTGGTTCTTCCACCTGCCTTGCAAGCACAAGGACCAGAATTCGATCCCCAATACCAAAAAAAAAGACAACCTACACAATGTGAGAAAATATTTATAAATCATCTACTGAATAAAAGTTTAATATACAAAATATATAATTCATTCATAGAACTCAATAGCTAAAAAAAAAAAAACCTGGAAGACAGACAAAGGTGCTCAATATCACTAATCAGCAGGGAAATTCCCTAATCAAAACCACAATGAAACATCACCATATGATGGCTATTATCAAAAAGTAAACAAGGGCCAGGGATTTAACTCAGTGGCAATGCACCTGCGTTGCAAGTGCAAGGTCCTGAGTTCTATCCTGCGTACAGGGGTGGGGAGGAGGTGGCAGCTCAACAAACAAAAATAGCAAGAGTTGGTAAGGAAGTAGAGAAAAGGGAATTCTGCCTTTTACACTGTGAGTAAGAACATAGTCTGGTACAGCCACTTTGAGGAACAGCACGGAGTTTCCTAGAACAAAACAAAAGAAAACAAAAGAAACCTGTCATAGGATCCAGAAATCCAACTTCTGCGTATGTATGCACAGGAAGTAAAATCACTAGCGCAAAGAGACATCTGCCCCCATGTTCGGTCCATCGTTATTCACCATTGCTAAGATACGGACGCAACCTAAGCATCCATCAAGGGATGAAGAAAGGTGATACACATACCACATAATGCAGTATTATTCCACCTTAGAAAAGAAGAAAATGCTGCCATCTGTGACAACCTGGTTGAACCTGGAGGACATTATGCTGAGTGACATAAGTCAGACACAGACCATACTGCACAATCTCCCTTACAGATGTAATCTGAAAAAGTCAGAATTACAGAAGCACGGATCAGAAGAGTGGCCGCCAGGGGCTGGGAGCGGAGAAAGTGAGGAGATGTTAGGAGGTAAGTAAGTTCTGGAGTCTTAATATACAGTGTGCTGACTATACAAGATCATATGATGTACACCTGAAATTTGCTAAAAGAACAGATTTTACTTGTCTTTTACAGCACATAAGGGTAACTAGGACAGATATGTTAATTACCTCTATTATAGCAGTCATCTCCCAAAAAACACGTATATCAAAACATCATATTGTATACCTTGAATATATGCAATTTTATTGGTCAACTATACATCAATAGAGGGGATGGAAAGACAAATCCACAAATGAACACGCTCAAAGTATGCTTTATTTGGCCAAGAATTTTGCGTGTGTTTAATTTTCTTGAGTTTTGAAACCAGGAAAAAAAACTATTTTAGAAATAAATATTATTTTGTGTATTTGAGGTCAACAATACAAGATATATATGGTAAAATTATATAGTAATGGGACAAATTAACACACCCCTCATCTCACATAGTTACCCACCTCATACCCATACCACCATGGCAAGAGCAGCTATCGTCTACTCCTTTGGCAAAAACTTCAAATACAATATACGATTATTAACCATAGTTCTCATGTTGTATGTGAGATCTCGAAATGCCTGTCTACAAACGTATAAAGAAAATGTCACACAAACACGCACATGCCCATGAAATCTGCCATAATGTGTAGGGACTTGGAGGACATTGAGCTAGGTGAGATAAGCCAGGCTTGAAAAGAAAAATATTGCGCAATCTCTCTTACGTGGAATGGGGGCCGGGGTGAGAAAGCACTCTAAGACTGAGACTAGACTGTACAGTGGTTACTATGGAGAGAAGGAGATGTGCAGATGGGAATTAAAAGACAGAAAACAGCAGCTCTGCAGAATGAAGGGCATGAAAATGATTCATTTGTTGACATGCACTGGGGCAATTCTGTCAATGAAAGCTGAGAAATGCTGACGATTTCACACCAGGTAGAAAGACAAGAACGTATCACCACTTTATAGTCTCAAGTGTTACTCTATTGTCAAGCAACTAGAAGGACAGCAACCATGATGAAAATACTTCTTCACGTGCTTTATTCAGAAGAGCTGGAAAGGAGCCTGTGCGCCGTTAATGGACGGACACCTGTCCAGCATAACCTGTTTCAAAGATCTCTCTGACTAGGTTCGTATCCCAGGCTGATCTCCACCCACCACCCAAAAACACTATCAAGCGTCTCTCATGGCCCAGACACTCAGGCTAACAAAACCACCTTTTAAATTGACCTCACAAGACATGTGACAGGTCAGATCTGCTGAAGTATGTGTCTGCAGATGATGCCTACCATGCACTTCAAACTAAAAATAATCTACTTTTGCAGTAGCCACAATAGAGTATCAGAGCTATTCACCTTGCTGAGCCTGATGGAGATGAACCACTAGCAAGTGGCTCTGAGCATTATTACAGAGCCCTGGCCATATTAAAACTGGTAAAACATCTCATACAAAGGAATTTACACTGATTTTCAATTAGTTTAATGCAAAAGATGAAAATACTGCCTCCTTATCTGGGCTTCTCTATTTCTTCTAAGGTTATTTCTTTAAAACACATCTATGATCTATGAATTAGGACAAGTCCTATTATATTCATTCTCTTAAATGATTCATAATGGGGCAGTAACTGTCAAAAATAAATCATAAACTGGGAAAAGCTTTCATTTGCTTGAAGTCCATACATACTACAACAAATACTACAGATTTTGTTGTAGAGTATTTTGGTTTAGAGTAAGAACAAGTCCAGTTGTTCATATAAACTATATATGTAACAAACTTCATAGACATACACTTTTAAATAGGGATGAGAGGCAGTGTTCTATGTAAAAACTTTTAAAGTATTTTTAAAAGCAGAATGATAAAAAAGAAATCAAAGGGCTGTATATAAGGAAGATTTAAAAGTCATAGGAAAGTTAAGAACTTATTTTGAGCTACTAACACCAAAGCATTATTATCAAAAGAACTTACAACAAAGTGAAATAGTTTTAATAATATCTGACGTCAACTAACAGACATGTAGTAAGTGACCAAGAAAAGACTCATTTGGAGCTGTTAGCCAACCCACCTGAAAAATGCAAACCTGTTTACTTTTCTTTCTTTTTCACTTTTCTTTTTCTTCCTTCCTTTTTTTCTTTTTTTCTGAAATGAGGTCTTGCTAAATTGCCTAGCCTGGCCTTGAACCTACTACAATCCTGCCTCAACCTCCTGAATAGCCAGGCTTAGTGTGCAGCACCATGCCTGTCTTAAGATGCCCAAGCTGGGCTTGAACTCATGATCTTCCTGATTCAGCCTCCCAGAGCGCTGGAGTTACAGGCTACAGGCTACTTTACTATTCTTTAAAATTGACTCAACAGAGAGCCACTCATGTTCTGAAAGGGGGAAAAAAAAAAAGAGCCTAACACATTTTTGTTTGGAGAATATGTAAATCTAAGGATAGTGGAGGGGGTTCCATCATGCACCAGGGAAAAAATGCAAATAAAAAATTAAAAATTGCCCAATTTTAAGCAATTTTTTAAAAAGATTTACTGGGTAGAAAAGTAAAAACTGAAGACTTAAACTACTTTTATTCCATTACCCAAATCTCCAGGTTCTAACTGAGAATGTTACACTGGATCCCTTCTTTCATTACAGAATACATTAAAGTCACTTATTTCTACCTTACATGTATTTTTTAATAGTTTGACCTTTGTGCATGTGACATTTTTAGTCAGAAGAAAAATGACTTCTTACTGTTTTAGTCCTTCGTAGTGTGCTGTTTGCAAACACTGAAGGTAAAGGAGTTTTCCAACATCTCAGTTTTAAAGCAACAATTTTCTCTCAACTACTTTTACAGGTTCCCAGGTAAGATTAACTCCTCTTCCAAATCCATCAGCAAAACAACAAACTCCACATGCAGGAGACCTCATCTATCACCATGCACTAAGCTAAGATCAAAATGGATCAAATACCTAAATGTTAAAACAGAAACAATCTGCTGGGAGATAAAACAGGTAAAACCCTTGAAGACATAGGCACAGGCCAGGACATTCCAAGCAAAACTACAACGGCACAATAAATAGTACCAAAAATCAACAAATGGGATCATGTCGAATTAAACCGCATCTGCACAGAAAAGGAAACAACCAACAGAGTGAGGAGACAACAGAACAGAACGGGAAAAAATTTTGCCAGCTATTCTCAGACAGAAGACTCATATCTAGATTATGTAAATGATTTTAAAAAATAGACTCCCCCCAAAAAAAGACCCAGTCAAAGAATGAAATGAACAGACACTTCTCAACATGGCCAACAGATACATGAAAAAATGTTCAACATCACCGGCCATTCGAGATATGCAACACTGAGACACAGATTGCATCCTACTCTGGAAAGAATGGGTACCATCAAGAAATCAAATAATAACAAATGCCGGCATGACTTGGAGGAGGGAGCATCTACATTGTTGGTGGGAAGGTAAACTGGTATAACCATTATGGAAATCAGTGTGGAGATTCCTCAAAGAACTGAAATTAGAAATTCCACTCGGCCTAGCTTTTCCTCTTCTAGATATCTTCTCCAAAGAGTTAAAGACATCACATGCAACCCCAGATTTGCAACAGCACAATTCATAACAGCTAAATCTTGGAAGCAGTCTATCTGTCCATTAATAGACAAAGGAATAAAGAAAACGTGGTATTTATACATTGTGGAGTACTACTCTGCCATAAAGAAGGATAAACTCAAGTCCTTTGTAGGAAAACTAATGCAACCTGAAACCATAATGGTAAGTGAAATAAATCAAGACACACAGGTTTAAAGATCAAGTGGTGATCTCTTACATGAGAAATTCAAAATGTAAACAGCAAAATAAAGTATCACAGGAAGTAGGGAGATAATTTTCAAATTGGAAAGGGTTGGAAAAAGAACAGTGATGTGCTATGTGTGGGTGCCAAATCCCCACAAAGAATGCAATCATTATGTACTGAGAACATATACTAATAAAAATTAAAACTCCAAAAATATTTAAGACAGAGCCTCACTGTGCAGCCCAGGCTGGCCTCAAATTCACGGCAATCCTTCTGCCTCTGCCTCCCAAGTGCTGGGATTACAGGTGTGCGCCACCGCGCCTAGCTTCAAACAATTTTTTTAAACCAACAAAATCCAAGCTTTAAAGCGGACTAAGGCACTATACCTCTCCCCCTCCTATTTAAAAGCGCTTCTTTCCTCTGTGAGACAGAATCATGCCGCCACATCAGAAACAGTAAAGTCCACATTAACTGAATTATTTGAATACCTCCCCTTCAATCTTGTATAAATGTAATTTCTATGAAGCCACATACGTGCCTGTAATCCTAGCACCTCCAGCAGGCTGAAGCAGGAGGATCACAAATTCGAGCCCATGTTAGGCGGTTTAGCGATTTAGGAAGACCTTGTGTCAACATTTAAAAATGTAAAGAGTTAGGGGTCTGGATCAGTGAGAAGGCCCTTAGTTCAACCTCCGGTACCAGAAAGACAAAAAAGGAAGGCGCGTGGGGATGGACCCAGTGGAAGTCTTTGCCTAGCATGTTTGAGACCCTATGTCCAATCCCCAGTACCGAAACAGGAAAACTGGAAACTCTGTTTGCATGTTTTGCTCAGGGTACCCACATCCCCGTCCCTCACAGGAGGAAGCAGCAGAAAAACAAGCCTGCAATCAAACTCCGCACCGCGTCGGGACCGTC